CACTGCACCATGGTATCTTACTTGTAGAAAAGGTCGGCTACATTATATCCACCTCCTGCACGCACTCTCATGTTTTATCAACACATTGTATGAGCTTAGGGCAGCTTTAAGGACTGAGATTCATATCAGAAGCGGATTTATTTCACATTTACACCTTTCAGTTGTTCCAGTTGTTCTAAGCTTCTACAATGCCTGACTAGGAGTGGGTGCAGGAAGTGTATATATTGTAGCTGATCTTTTCTACAGGTAAGATACTATGGTGCAGTGGGTGAGCGCGTCACTCAGACCCGAGCCTCCTTTCTCCGTGACCCTGTGAGTTCAATCCTCGGTGGTCGATACAAATTTTGTATTTTTCTTGGACCTGGGTCCTGTAAAACATGCCGACAGGACCCGGGTTTCTCTATATTGTGAACACATTTTGGCAATATACGGCCCATGTCGTGACGACACAGCTCACATAATTTGAAGGACACATTGTCAACACATGGTTTCGTGATGATGGTGTACTGAAGACAACTCCCTGGTAGTATATCGGTTAGTACACGCGCCTGTCATAAAATAATCATTGGCTTGGCGATGTGACGCGCGAAAGCTGGGTTCGACTCCCAGCCAGGGAGATGAAGTGGGAGTAATGCATTTTTTTGTGTTTTTCCTCTTTTCCCCCTTATCGCGGATTTGCAGATATATGTATGTATTATTATCAGTACAGTACAAAATCAAAACCAGGCACCACACGCCCCCAAGTAAGTAGTAAGCAAGCTAACCCCCTTCCCCCCCATCACTCCATCTACACCCCAAACCTCCCAACCAACTCCCCAACCCTCCTCCTCGCCTCCTCATCCATCCTCCTCCTAACCTCTCTAACCTCCCTCGCCTCCTCCTCTTCCTTCGCACGCTGACGGTCCTCTTCTTCTCGTCTTTTGGATTCGTTCTTTAAGGCGACGGAAGCGTCGAATTCAGCTCGTTGAGCGAGTCGGTGGGTGGTGTGTGTGGGGAGGTGGGTTGAGAGGGGGATGGTTGGGTTTGGGGGAGGGCGTGGGTGGGAGGAGGTGAGGAGGGTTGAGGTTGAGGTGGAGGTGGAGGTGGAAGCAGAGTTCGAGTTCTCCCGCTCCCTCTCCCTCCGAGCGGCGATCCTCGAATCAGATCGGAAACTGAACTCGAAGGGTTTGGTCACCGGAGGAGGTGGTGGGGGTGGGCCCATTCCCGAAGTCGAGCTTGATTTCTCCTCGTTTCCTGAGACTGAGGCTGTCGCAGAGGGAACCCGTTGCCGTTGCCGTTTGCCTATTCCCTGTGGTGCAGAAACGATTCTCCCCCTTCCACCACCTCGGCTCTTCTTATTACTACTCCCAGAAACACCCAAACCGGGGCCCCTGGCAGCATCAGGAAGCGGCGGTAACCTCGTCGTTTTCTTCGCTCGTTTCGAGTTCCTAAGCTCGTCGGTATCTTCCTCACGACTGGCGCTGGGTCGTTTCTTAGACGCGTGGGGCTTTCGTGGTGAGAGTTGTGATACGGTGAGTATATCTGTATCCGTATCTGGTGGCGGTGGTGAGGGGAGTGGTTGGTTTGGCGTAGAGGATGAGGATGAGGGTGAGGCAGAGAACGAGAACGAAGAGGAGGAGGGGGCTTGGGCGTCAGAAACAGAAACCGTACGACGCAAAGATTCGGGTTCGAGTGTAGCACCGTCACCGTTACAAGTGTCAGCAGCCAGAGGTACCGGTGTCGGTGTAGAGTCAGCCGGGGTTTCTGTGTCCGTAGGCGGTGGCGGTGGCTCTTGAGAATCCGGATCCTTAACCTTCTCCTCCGTCTTCGTCTTCTCTAATGTCGATGTCGAAGGCTAAGTGAGAGGAAAAAAAGAGAGAACCAAAATCAGCACGATACTCACAAACCTACACGAAAAATCATAGAAAAATTGAACGTACCTCGCCTTCCCCTTCCTCTTGAACAGCCTCGACCTCGACCACACTCTCCCCAACCTTCGCCCTCCCCTTCACCCCCACAGATACGGGTACGGGAGCAGAAACCGCCCTCATCTTTGTCTTCACTGGCGCTGGCGCTGATACTGGTACTCTCCTCGGCGGCGCAGCAGCAACTACTCGTGCCTTCTTCGGCTTCCTTACACCAAACTCAGGCTCAGGTTCCGGTTCCACTTCCTTCCTCTTCTGCGTTGATGATGAGGATGGTAACGCGTCTGTGGTTGGAGTCGGAGTCTTCCTTTGAGTACGAGTACGAGTAGATCCTCCAGTACCGGCGCCGATTTCGGGTTTGGATTTGGATTTCTCGACTTCGACCTCCTTCTCCTTCCCTTTGCCCTCCGCTTTCGGTGGTGGTTTCGTTGTGGTAATGGTGGTGGTGGACGGAAGACGGTTATGTCTCGTGGTCGAAGCACCTCCACCAGAATTCGAAGGAGCTGCTCTTGATTTTGGTTTCGCAGCGGTCGTAGTCGCAGTCGGGGGAAGCGTGACCTTTACTTTCTCTTTATCTCTCACCGTCTCCTTCTCCTCTTTCTTCTCCTCAGACGACGGAGCTGGCTCTGGCTCTTGGACTTGGACTTGGACACGTTCCGCCTCCTCCACCTCGACATCTGCGTCAATACCCAACGAGAATCGGGGGCCGGTGGAAGGAGATGAAGCAGAAGCAACCGCAACCGGCGAATCTCTCGTTACTTTAGGTTCGGGTTCGGGTTCTTCTGGGACGGGAAGAGGGGGAGAAACGAGTTGTTGGGTGTGGGTGTGGGTGTGTGGTTGGCCGTCGTCCGAATCTGAATCTTCGGATATAGGTATAGGTAGATCGGTCTCTGAGGCTGGAGCTGGGGAATTTGTAGTGGTTGTAGTTGTGGATGGAGCTTCAGGAGCGGGAAGTAGGGGCGGAGGTTTCGATTTGACGTCCTCCTCCTTAGCGGTAGAAGAAGAAGAGGTAACCGTAACCTCTACCTCTTGCTGCAAAGACGAGGAAGACCCGCTCGCATCCGTATTCGTAGTGACACTGGACGCAGAACGGGTATGGGTACGTCTGGTGGTGGTGGTGGTGGACGACTTGGATCTCGTCGCAAGTTTTCGCACTTGTACTTGTGCTGAGGAGGAGGAGGCGGGCTCTGTACCTTCTTGCTGCAAAGAAGAAGACGCACGCGCACCCGTCTTCGTGGCGACGCTGGCAGAACGGGTATGGGTACGTCTCGTCGTCGTGGAAGGACCTGACGACTTGGATCTCGTATTCGAGACTGTCGCATGTGGCGAAGAGGAAGGTGGTGGTTGTACAACGTTATCGAGGGAGGAGGGAGACTCTCTCTTTGGAGCTTCTGCTTCGAATTCAACGGGTGAATCCATCGGTAGGGCTGCCGCTGGCGTTGGCGTTGTATCGATATGGACTGGGGAAGACGCAGAACGGGTATGTGTTATCGTCGTGGAAGCAATTGACCATTTGGATATCGACGTTGTAGGTGCCTTCCCTTTCCCTTTCCCCGCCAGAGGTTTCGGTTTTGTCTTGGCCTTGATCTGCGACTTCTCTTTCTCTTTCTCTTGAGCTTCAGGTGACGACGATGGAACACAAGCCGTAGTTGATGCTGCCGGCTGTTCTGCTTCGACAGGTTCGTCTTGTATCGAGAGCGGCTGCGGCGGAGGTGAAGGCTGCGCAAAGTCAAGAGGCGCTTCGAGGTCGGTGGGGGTGCCAGCGAGAGAGGGTGTCTCTTCGCCTGCGCTCGGTGAGGACGTCAGAGCCGGGTGTGGGATGAAATCGAGGGGTGTATGGTCTGGGTCTGGGTGCGGATGAGCGTTCGTGTTTGAGATCGGTGGTATGGAAGATGAGGACGACGAGGGTTCTGGCTGGGAGGTCGTTGGAGGGGGACCGAATATCTTCTTCTTCGTTGTGAGCTTCTCTTGCTTGGTTGGTGATTTGCTATACCAGTCGAGTCAGCACCCTCAAAAACTCGAATGGGAATGAATATAACACGTACGAGGTAGCAGGTTTCTTCATTGGTTTCGCTGGGGATTTCCTACCCAAAAAGAGGTCAGCATCAACCAGGAGATGAGGCGTATACACGACGAGACTTACGACGGCTGGCCAAATCCAAACTGGCGACTATACATCATCAACCTCCCCGCCATACCAGTGTTGACGTTGATACTATCCGTCGTCGTATCCATATCCGTATCGTTGTCCAAGTCCATAGTCACGTTCATCAGCTCTGTTTGGTTCATGTTCATATTGGTAGGAAGCAACGGAGTCTGCGTCTTCAAGTCAACAAACACCGAGAAAAGAAAGAGAAAAGGAAAAGGAAAACCACGCACCTCCTCATCCCACCCCTCTATAGCAGATTTCAAACTCGCCAACCGATGCGGCGTCGAATACGTCTTAGTCTTCGTCTTCGTATTCCCCCTAGGCGAATCAACCAAAACATCTCTCCCTCTCCTCGACGGCGGTGGTACCATAGGCGTAGCTCCCATCCCCAACACGCTATATTCCTCTCCATTGGTACCTCGGAAGAACGAGTAACCACCCCCGTCGTCGTCGTCTTTGTGTGCGAGGAGGTACGAGTCGTCTGCATCTTCGTCGTTGTTGGTGGGGATTTGGAATGATAATGAGTGTTCTTCGGAGTCTCCTTCTGCTTCTGTCGATGCGGATAAATCGGGGAGATGTCGTAGACTGAGGTCTTGGTTGGGTATTCGTGGTGACTACATCCAGGGGAGCCATGAGCATCAGTACAGTTGCGTTGCAGAGAGTGATGAGACGTACCCGAACCATCGTGGTTGGTTAGTCGGTGGATGATGGTGACCGTCAATGGCCAACAATAGATTTGGCGACGAGAATTCAACAACGTCACGTTCACGCGTCGGTCACAAGACTTTTGCCGCCGGCACTTGGCACAGACGTTTCGGGCGGCGTTTTCGTCCTATATCTCGATTGCATGCAGAGATTGGGAGAGGATTGGACTACGAAGACACTGGGGAAAACGATAAGAAATATCCACTCGTAAAGGGAGAAAAAGACATGCGTTATAAAGGAATCTCCCTGGCTGGGAGTCGAACCCAGCTTTCGCGCGCATCTGGCTTGACACCCGTTGTGATGACAGGCGCGTGTACTAACCGATATACTACCAGGGAGTTATACTCAGACATGTTGCCCGGGCACATATACCTGTCCGATTCTTTCTCGAAAATTCTTGAACACGGAGACTTGAACCAAAGTAAGATAGAAACTCGGACCAAACATTCTCAGAGCTTCAACACGCAAACTCGCATTTACCTTCCAACCAAAGTTACCCAAGGGGCCAGGGGCCAGGGTCACATACACTTCCAAATCTCCCTATAGTCAACGGTCAACCCCACAGAACCTTATATTTCTTCTCCGCACTAAAGTGACGCAAATGCCAAAAAATCCAACGGCTTTAGAGTGTTCGCCCTCACGAATTGAAACCGTACCTATCTATCTATATATATACCCACGCACCCGCATTCATTTCAACTCCGTTATGGTGTAGTGGCTAACATTATCGCCTCTCATTTGCAAGGGCAATCTACCTTTGATTAATTTGCGAGCGCGATAGCCCAGGGTTCGATTCCCTGTAACGGAACTTCAGTAGTGTTGAGTTTTTTTGTTTCTTCTATACCAGGGTTCTTTTTCGGACACCGGTCGGTACTCGTGAGTATTTCTCAGCCTTCAGCCCGAACAATAGACAATAGACAATAGACAATAGCCTCCGCCGCCCATTCTCCCCTCAGAGGCATTTGGGTTAAACTACCTGATGAACAACTTATCCAACTGTCAATGTGATTAACCATGACAATTCGGAACTTTCCATATTCAATTTTTTTCCAGTGCTCGTAAACAATGAACGCCTCAGAAAGGAATGACCGTTTTCTCAGCCCTAGACCGTGACTGAGACTCACATTCCCAGTCTCCCGCCGCCCAGTCTCGGTGCCTTTCCCTTACTCACGTCGGAGGTAAGTACGCATTAACGGGGTTAGTAAGGACTGCGGAAAAGGCTTGCAGGTACATTCCTAGTTCTTACCCGCCTTCGTTCACATTATCTGCAAGCATAATTTGGCGAGTCAATAGGAATGGGTTGATCCCCAAAACTCAAAACAGTGAGTTTCCCATTTTCCAGATAAAGTACGAGTGATGTATACCCGATTTCTTGATCTTGGAGCAAGAGGGCGGGCGGGGGCGACCTGACTGTAGAGTCTAAACACACACGCCCTTCTCACCGCTCGGCGGTCGAGAGAAAATGAAATCCCAAATCCTAAATTCCGTGCACCCAGCGCCCTCCCCCCTACCTTTTGTTGCGTAAAAGCGTGAACTTCTTGAACAACCGCTTTCAGAAGAATCCCCCCATCATATAATATAGTACTTACGGATCCCACCCGCCTCTCGCGAAAAACACTGAATGAAAGTTACTCAGTAGCACCGACAGGATTGACATCAATCGAGTGGGCACAAATAGACTATATACTATATAGTATAGTATCTCGCGTCCTCCTCGATCAATCTGTCCACGTCCCAGCGTTCCAGTTCTCTCACACACCGACGCAAAAAAAAAAAAAACAAAAAACAAAAAACAAAAAACAAAAAACAAAAAACAAAAAACAAAAAACAAAAAACAAAAAACAAAAAACAAAAAACAAAAAACAAAAAACAAAAAACAAAAAACAAAAAACAAAAAACAAAAAACAAAAAACAAAAAACGACTACGGATACAAGCATGTTACTTGTGGCTTGTAGCGCACTTTTGGACCTCTCCAGTCCTGAGTCCATGATCATTCAAAGTCAAGTTTGGGCTGCAAATTTCGTTCCTATCTATCTATACCCCTAAATCAATGAGTCTGTTATGATGTAGTGGCTAACATTATCGCCTCCCATTCCGTTGCGAAGCCTTCTTATTTAGCGATCGATTCCAATTTCCTGTAACAGAACTGAGGTGTCATCGCCAGGTTCCTATACTAACTTTTCTCAGTCAGGGGTTGTGTAGTGTATTCGCCCCCTACGATCCCCCGGTACCTTCACCTTTTCTTACATCGCCATGGATCACTCTCACTAGCACAAGGATTCAAATGTTTGGCAACACCCTGCTTGCTTACATGTAGATACATTCTCACCGCACGATTCAGAATCCCATGGTACGAGATTGAAGTAAAGGGGGGTGACCGGGACCGTTGACATACACATTCGAGATTCAAGAATCCCAAATCGCGTTGGCCCCCTTCTCCGCGATTTTGATGAAAGGAGGAAGTTTAACAACTAGTACAGATATCATGGTTCTCCCTCAATCAGTTTTGGCCCCACCGTCACGTCGAGCCCAGCGCAGAAGTCGTTTAGTTCCGTCCCAGTTCACAAACACGTACATCTAGTTTGAACAATAGCAAACGTGTACTCTTTGGACCTTCCATACCTTCACCCTAATCACTTGGGATGCTGACAACTCCGTTATGGTGGAGTGGCTGACATTATCGCCTCTCATAGAACTGCAACCAACTCAATTCATTGGCGAGCGCGATAGCCCGGGGTTTGATTCCCTGTAACGGAACTTCGTCAATCACAAACTTGAAATGTTTGCTTACATACCGGGGGTTCTGTATTCACTTTTGGCGGTGCTTGTGAATATGATGATTCGCCTTCGCAACTTGATTAAAGGCTCGAGTTGACTACTCAAAGTTCAGTAAATCCGCCCATTGGTTTTATGTACTCCGTTAGGGTGTAGTGGCTAGGTGCCTCTGTTTCTCCCCCAAGGTAAGAGCGCAATAGCCCAAGTATTACCTCCTATGGTAGATCTGTGGTAACCGTTGGGTGTAGTGTAGGTAATTTTAATTCTGATAATCACTGAGTCCTTGTGCAACTGAGCTATCAACATTGAGCGACATTATGGTGGGGAATCTGCATTGTTGAATCTCAATTTATAGAATAGCTCATACAACGCACAAGTGTCATTAAATTTGGTTGGGATTCGGCCTGCTCAAGCGGCTAACACTGGATCGAAAATGGTCTTCACGAGCGCGTTCAGAATCACCTGATGAGAACTCTAACGCACGTGATTGAACATCGGCCGGACTCTGAATCTGTGTGGGAATCCTCGATCGTACGGGTTGCTATTCAACCACCACCACATCACCGAAAGGACTACTGCCTGAGCTTCCTTCCTATACCTCCATCGGCTTGACTATATCTTTCTTACTCACAGTGCTCTCACTAAATGGGACCACGTGCGTATCTGCCACCAGTGGACCTCGAGTTCACCTTGCACTGTTTTCGACGATTCCCAAAGGCCAAGAGCGCGCTCGATGCGCTTCGCAGACTCGGAGAGCCGCCCTCTATCACCCTCGCTGATATTTCCAACCCCCCACCGGTTATCCAGACAGCAATACAGGTGATGGGTGCACTCAGTAGAAGCTACGAGACATCTATTATCCGACCCAGCTGGAAATCTCTTATTGGTCCATGGGTGAGGGTACTTCTCGAAGACATAATTCTCGGAGATCACGATGGCCCTTCAACCGCGGAAGGTATCGCCGTGTGGGATCACATTCTCATGTGTGTCCCCGGTTGCTTTCTCTCGGCAGCTGGGCCGCCGGGTCGTGAGGATGACCCACACTCGCTGAGTCGTACGACCCCATACATCGGACCTCTATTCACTCAAACGTGGCTCAAGGTGATCGACGAGTGTCATAGGACGTGGTCGACATGGTCTCAATTGCATATACTACTCGTAGAGCTGGTGGATGACGCTGAGACTGGCCCTACGAGTGTATCTCGCGCTGACATACCCCGCAACGTTATCTACGCCCTGGACGAACAAATGGGGAAGCTGTTCGTTCGTCATATCAACTTTCACATCCCGAAAATCCCCCGAGCTTCGAATGACGAGCTGTCCGCTGTGGAAAATCTTATGTCTTTGCTCGTCGGGGACATCGGCAGGGATCGCGACGAGAACCCCCTCGGATACCCAGCGGTTGTCGGACAAACGATTCCAGCCCTGATAAAACTCGTTTCCACAGTGATGTTCAAGCGAAAGATCGACCCCAAGTGTCCCCCAAGCAGGATTTCAGAACACATCCATCGCATTGCAGTGTTCGCGCTGCAGTGCCTATACGGAGTACTCCGCAATCCCAGCTCAGCAGTGTTAGCTTTGGATTCGGGCGTTTTGAAAGTCGTCCTGAAAGCCTATCCGTGTTTCTTTCGGTACGATGACACGAGGGATGGTCGGGCCCTAAAGTTGAACTTCGTTCATTCGACCACCTCGTTGTTGCAGCGCATTTCCCGTTTGGTGGTGTATCCCAACGTTCTGCACGCTTTCCTCGTAGCCGCTAGGAAGGTAGACATCGAGGAGCTGGATGCCGAGTTGGAGGATAAATCACCCCCAACGTGGAAGTGCTGGAAGGAAGCGAAGGACAAGGTTACTCTCCTCCGAGACATACGCCACGCTTTAAGGGAAACTGGATATGTGGTTTGTGCGAATGTGAACAGCGTGCGTATTTTGCGGGATTTCTGGCATACCACAGAGTTGGATTCACCATCATGGTTTTTAGTGTCCGCTCTACAAGAAAACAGGAGAGTTAGACCCCCGTCAAAGGGTTCAGCACCGTCGTGCCCAATGCTCCGGATGTTCATGGGTCATCTATTGTTCGGTGGAATGTCAGAAAGTATCCTGGAAAAAACACAAGAAGGTGTGCCGAGGTGCACCACCGAAAGTACGATGTAGGTATTTACACTTTTCGGGACACGTTTCCGTCACTAACAGGAACATCTAAGTCGTAATGTCGCGGTTCATATCGCACTCCGACTCCAGCTTCTTTGAGGCCCTCATCCTCTACTTCGTTGGTCTCTATACCCAGTCCATTCGACAAGCAGTGGATCATTACAAGCTTCGATTGTCCGAACTCGAGGGTTTATCCACGGAACAGCAGCTCATAATGGACGGTCTTAAGAATCCAATTGTTTACCTCGATTTCGATCTGCCATCTACGCCCACACCCGATACCTCCCTACAAATTCTCGACCCAGTGACACTCACGACTCTGCGCGAGCCACCCATCCCCCAGTTTGACCTAAGAGGATGTACTGAGTTTTGGCGTCACTCTACGGTGGACGAAACGATGATCATGGTGGTCGGGGTGTTTCCGACTTATGGCAAGAACGTTGGGTTGATACAGAGTTTATTCCAATGCGGAGGATGTGATGAGGTATACAAGCATGACTCGGGTCGTTATGAAGAGATAGTTAAGACGGGAGTATGGGACAGAATAGGTGAAGAGATGAATCGGGAACGGCTGGAGAGGGAGAGACATGGGTAGCTTTGAAAACTCTCGTATAGCAGCCGCTCGAAGATTTGGACAGTCTGTACAAACATGGCATCACAGAGCCTTGAGGTATCACCCGGAGACTCAGTCTTGCTCTTCGACTCTTCAAGTTTGGTGTTCATCAATGGAGATACCACTCAGGTATTATTACATGGGCGTACCTACTCGACCTGGGCTTTAAAAAAAATTCGGTCTCCTATGCTTATCAAGAAATGAGGTCGAGGTCAATTTTTCCTCGTTTCCCGAGACTGTCGTAGAGGGAACCCGTTGTTGTTGTCGTTTGCCTATTCCCTGTGGTGCAGAAACGACTTTCCCCAAAAGAAGGGTAGCAATCCCCATACCAGAGCCCCCTTCATCGCACGAGGTAGCATTGTTTTTGGTGAGGGAGCATTTTCCGCCCGTGAAACAGTGGACCTACTATCCCGGCTAGTGATGTGCGGGCTCGGGCTGGGCTCAAAGCCTCGAGCCTGGGCTCGGCTTAGAGGGCTTAGGCTCACCAAAATCAAAGCCTGAGCCTTGAGCCCAAGCCCGACATCAAAGCCCTAGGGCTCAAGTACCAATGTACATAAGGCTGTGCAAGAAAAAATAAGGATGTCAGATTGTGTACCAGATAGCCCGAGAAGATTTCTACTGCCCAGTGGTATGTGGATTGGACCACCACCAAGTCCCAAGTAGCATGGGTCACCAATTTGATGATGAAAAGACACTATACTTGGTGAGTATCCACGTCATTGAAGAACCAAATGGGCCACTTACTATCAGCCTTGGGGGGCCAATAACACTAGCATGAGGAGAATATTCGACACACAACCACATTTGACTTGCAGATGAGGAGGGCCTGAGCCCAGGGTTTGGGCTTACAAAATCTCGAGCCCGAGCCCACACATCACTAATCCCGGCAAATCCGTCAGCTCTTTGCGAGGCAATTGGACAGGGACAGTCACTAATGTGACGGAACGAGGTGTAGAGGCCATACGAACCTATGAAATCAACACTGGAAATAAAAGGATCAAGGCAGAAGAATCATGATTTCTTGGTTGGAGGCTTCATAAAGTCTGGAAAGTTGGGCAGTATGTCCAACATTTTACTGGAGCAGAGGGGCTCATTCTCAGAAATGAGTCGGACAATGTTTTCTTTTGGAAAGGGGGGGACAATATGGTCAGTACAAGTTTTGTCTTTAGTTCTCTTGAGCTCACCACATTACAAACATACAGGCTGCTACGCCATACTCTGCACACTGGAATATGCTTTGGGAGGTACAGAAGACACTGGGACCATATTCTGGCAAGGCATAGACAAAGTGTGATCACGGAGGCTCAAAACCAAACCAATGCCTCCCAGTATGATTGTAACGGGCTAAATTTCTGCCTATCTCATTTCTGGGACCCCTACCTTTTTACCCAATTCCATACCCCTCTATACCCCCTTCATATACATCTTTCCAGCTCTCTATTCACATCCTTCACCATGTCTTTTCACCATTCTCCACTCCTCACTCCTATATCGGGTCCCTCAGACAACCTCCAGCATACTCCGGGACTCTATTCATTTATTCTGGGACTTCAACATCTCACTCCGGGACCCCATGAACTCATTCTAGGAACCCATAAGTCCATCCCGGAAACCCACATGGTTCACATCAGGACCCTAACAGCTTTTTCCGGGATCATCACAATTCATTCCGGGATCCCTTTCCTCATATCAGGACCACATGTGGCACATTCTGATGGTCCCGGAATGACTCACACCTTTTCTGATTCTCTCTATTTCGCTCTGATTCCCCTTTCTACTCTGTAATTTACCTATATGGACTTATATCTTTCCCACACCTGAACAGTATATAAAGTACATGTAGAACCTCCATGTACTTTAGTTCGGTTGTATTGTCTCTTATCCAGTCAAATGTCTATCAAAGCTTATTAGCTGAGTATTCTTTCAAGTCTGTGGCATACTAACTGTCTCTGTGAATCGCACATCACATCCTACAGGTGCAACCTTTGTTAGTTCAGGTC